GCTGGGAAATTGCAGTGTAGCAGCAGCATTACAAACAGTCACAACAGTAACAACAACAACACCAACACAATAAGTAAGGATAATAAGTAAGGACTAAAGCAGTGGTTTCCAACCTGGAAGTGTAAGAAAACATAAAATAAACATATCAACAGCAAGTATATCTCAGCATTACGTTTATTTCTGTGAACAAAACTAAATGGAATTGTAATTTTAAAGTTTAGATTGTTATTTAAGATTTAAACCTTGAAGACCTGAACAGATATATAAAGATATATTCACAGAGCTTTCACTTTCTGATTCACAGCCTGCATTAAAAACATAGTTATAACAACCAAAGGGCTAATAGAACAATGGCGAAGTGTCAGGGAGAAGAAAACATTGCATTTGTCAAAAAAAGAAGCCTATTGTATGTAAATATAATATGTAATACAGACATAATTGTATTAAAAGTTCCTAAAAGTACCAGGAAAACTCATCTTTGATGCAATATTCACAGGAAATAATCTTCATTGTTGTCAATTATCAATGCAAACATAAAAAACAATGATGAAATGTCAAAGTTGAACTGATGTGAGAGGCGTAAATGGGGCTACAAGCCGACTACAGGCCCAGCAAAACCGGATAAAGTTAAACTGTGAAATAATATTTTTCTTTCCTACAATCAAATTTAATGAGAAAGATGAAGATGTCTTTTCCGATATTGCGGTGTGTCTGTGTATCTATGGGAATAAGAGGACAGGTTAGTGATAACAAAAAAATTCTAAAGGCTCATTGCCTTTGGTCAAACACTCCTTAATTAATGCATCTTTAATTTTTTGCATGGTTGCCTAGAAACAATGAGTTTTTCGTCTTACTCACCACCTGACCTTACTCTAATCCGTGGTTATTTCTGGAATAATAATGTCAAGATAAATTAGATGGTGCATGGCTGATTCAAAATGTTCTGTCAATATAAAAGCTGAATTAAATTATCAGAAAAAACAGTGAACTTACCCCTAAACTGTTGTATTATCACTTACTTACTGGCATCTTTGGCATTGTTTAGTACTATATATTTTATGTTGTAAATCTGGGCAATAAAAGTTTATATCAGACTATGTTTAGCAAATATAAATGTGGATAAACTGGATTTAGGTGGGTTTACTCTCCACTTCACTTAAGTTTTCATGGCCCTCAAGGGGACAGGGGATTCTGAAAAGCAGTAAAACATGATCTTAATTCATGCCACAAGAGTCCTCTATATCCAGTTATCATGAATTCAATAGTGGTGAATCTAGTGCAGCACAATTGACATTTTTACCCTTTACAGCCTAATCCTGCGTAAATAGCTCTCATACAGTGGAAGCTGCAGTGATCCATACAGCCAGGTCGTCATTGTAAATGAGAACTGGTTCTCAAGTGACTTCTCTGGTTAAAAAAATAAAAAGTTAAGATCTATAGCAAGCTGCAGTGACACACCCCTGCCCACTGCAGCTGTCCTGTATAACTAGTTTATACATAATCCAAATAATGGGTAAAAAAAATCTTTTCCTGTTTAGAATAATTTTCACAGAAATCTAAACAGACACAGGGGCCAACATCTGTAACTTCATTTCAACAGATGATGTCACATGGTGGCTCAAAAATCAGAAGATAGGATTAAGTCCTTTAAGTTTCAGATCAAGTTGCTTAAAATAATCCAGGGGGTGGTCTGTATTGTTATATGACTGGGGATGAAGGAGGAGATGAAGTAAATATCCTTGTATCTTAAGAGTAGGGAATTGAAGCCGAGGCATTAAATCAAGGTGAAAATCTGGTGACATTTGCACTGCTTTTCCCCTTTTTTCGAGAAAAGCATCTGTATTTGTTGGTATAAAAAGTGACTGCTTGTTTGTTGTTAAATGGAGCAGAATTATGAAAGCGAAAAAACAAGCGCTGTATTCTCAGTCAGCTTGTGACTAGGCTCTAGGGAAAAAGGAAAAGTGAAGGGTGGCCTGTTTGGAAACAAATGACATGACTGCTGTTTCACCCACTGAAACTCCTTCACACAGACCCATGGAACAGCTCCCCCCACTGGTTTAAGTAATCCATGACATATTAATCATGACCATATCCCCCCATGGGTATGGCAAGGCCTCTTTTTGTTTGGTATCTCTGTAGCTCTGCCCTGGACCTTTTCTCATTTTAACTGTCAAACATAACATTTTCACTTTCAATTAATGATTCTTTCTTTCCGTTTCACTGATTGCATGGTGTGCCTCAAGGCTCACCTCTTGGGCCAGCAATTTTTTTCTTTATACATTTGTCTTCTTATTTCTCAGCTCCTTTCTATTACAAATATAGCCATATCCCATGGGCAAGCTAAATTCTTTCACTGAATTGTGATCATTGTAACTTTTTAGCTGCTGTCAAGGACAAGATTTATGAGAAATTCCTTCCATTGAATTCATACAAACGTGGTATCATTTTTATTGGCCTTCCACACATCTCCAGAAAACAAGGATACACAAACAGTTCAGCAGGACTGCAGAGGAAAACACATGAATAATTCAATGTGTAATCTGTAAATACTGCCATGCTTCCTGGTGGGCAGTAGAGGGCAGACAGGGTAATTATGAGTGAGTAAATGAATAAATACACCAATAAATCAAAGTACTGTTTACTGTATGTAAGTGAGTAACATTGCTTCTAAAAGTGGTCCAAACAAGGATTTATCTTTCATGAACATTTACCAATGAAGGTTAATACATTATTGTACCTTTAAATATTCCGTCAACTTCAGAATTAAATGTAACTTTTTTGCATCTGGTCAGATTGTGCCAATTTTTATATTTTATTTGGACAAACGAATCAGTAGCCAGCAGTAATTGTTTTTCCGCACTGGCTGCCATTGATGATCATGATTTAAGAATCAATTCAAGGTCATTTTTAAAGACATAACCAGGTGATATAAATCTCACACTCTGTAACCTATATGAGTAGGTGTGAGATTATTATACAGGGTCAGGTACTAGTAACAGTAGGCTAATATAAGGTGTGTTTTACGAGTGCTTCAGATGTACATATCAAGGAGAGGAGAATAAGAGAAAACACCTAATATTGGTATTTATAATTCATAATATTGGCACTAACTAATAATGTGTTGTACTTTTGTATAAGAAGTTTGTAGGAAACTATTTTTTTGCTACAAATTTTGACAATTTGGTGTTATGCCTTAAGTTTGCACAGAAGTCACTAGACTTTTTTTGCATGGATGCATGATATTCAGATAATGGCAATGGTATGTATTTAAAACATACACTAAAGACAACATACTGTACAGTCTCACAGATTATCATGGTTTTGGCTTGAAGCTGGTTTTACATAACCGGCCATTATAATGTAATTGCCAACATTTGTTCCTCTAGAATTTACATCCCCGGTCCACTGATAAGAAACCAAAACATTAATTCCAACACTACATGAGAACCCACCACAGATTTTTACAGTATGCTCTGCTTTTTATAATGAAGCGATATATTCCACAGCAGTACTGCCTGTTAAAGTCAGTTCACATCCACAAGCCAATTATATACATGCACACAGCTGGGCTCGAACTCACTTCTAATTCTTTAACAGTATGTTTTTTTCCCACAGCCTGTTGCTCTGTGTCCTGGGAACATATTTCTTCCAGATTAAAGAACAAGGTCATACCAAATCTCAAATCTCCAACATTAAAGAGATATTCACATCATGAATCAAGTAATGGCAGCCATGCAGTCGAGGAAATGGCCATTAGATTACTGGACGGAAAGGACGGTGGATTAACTTGCACTTGAAGCAGCTGTTGAGTGTAATATTTCAAACGTTTCTAAATATTTTGAACGCTGTTAAAAGCAGCAACCATATGTACAGCATAACATATTCAGGCATCATTAAGTTGCATGGATGTGTGTGGGTTTTCAGAGGACTGAAAGGTTGTACAAGACTGGTGTTGCCATTAGTCTAGTGAGTGGAGAGGGGAAAAAAAGTACCGGCAACCAGTACAGATTAAAAAGAAAATCTCCACACACTGAATCTGTTTTATATCACTTTTATATTTAATTACTAATTATTTGCCAAATTATTGAATCATAACATCATTCTCTTAAATATAACCACCCTAATAATATTCAGTAGTATCCCCAAATCAGCTATTCTGTTTAAATGATCGGTGTGGATTACCAGTACTGGCATTGAGTTGAATGTGATCCCAGCATGATCCTGATCTTATTTAGAACCAGATTAAGAGGCACGAGGCTTAGCTCATAGAGGAGCCGGATGAATGGTCTTTAGCATGGCATTTGGTGCATCCTGAGGATTA